ATTGGCACCTTTGTGTGAGTTTGCTGCTTTTAGGCAAATTTTATGTATATACAGTTAACACTACAATTAATTAGAGTTTAATGTTGTTTAGTGAAAAAGTTTTTAGTGGCTTAGCATTTACAAAAATCCGTTTTTACAGTAATTTGTTTTTCTTTTTTTTTAAGTCTCTCGTCACTCAGTCTGTGCCCAGGTAATTTACATACACTGCTACTGCAATGGTTTTGGTAGCCACCAGAAAAAAGCAACAACCTTTTATACACTTTCACACTTGTTGAAGAGCACTGCTGAACACGGATTAACTGTGATTACACTGTTTGCAATACTTATTTGCACACACACCACACACAGACACACAAGCCCCCACCTCGCTGCTGTCGTCGCACTGCGCCGTTTGCAATTTCGTTATTTGTCTTCTAGAACATTACTTCGACACTGCTTCCGCTGCGTCCATTGCTGCCACTGCCTCTGCTGCCACTTCTACTGTCTGCACTGACGCTGCACACACACACACACCAACGTGCGATGAACTCAATCATACCTTGACTGAACCAATAACTAGCGGTCTCAACCAGTGCCAAACCAACTAAGTCCGCCTAATAGCCAAACCGCACCATCACAGCACGTCTCACCTTGCGGCCGCTCTTGTACTGAATGTGCTGAACAATTTAATCTCACAACGCGAATTACGAATTTATACGCAAAGCTGGAGTGTGCCACAATATTCCTTAGCTGCTAGATGTGTGCTGCTGCCGCCAACTCACGAATAATCGCCGCCACAAATTTGAGTCCCTCTCTACAGGCAAACCGCACACCAACATACGCGTACCAATACTAAGTACTACTGCCAACGAAAACACTCGACGGCCAATGGACCAAGTGCAGCTTCAAACTAAGTAAATCCAAACTGAAAATTTATTTGTAGTTTTATATTCAACACGCCAGCTAGACACCATCAAACTCTCCTAAATATAAATGTATGTACGAATATGTAGAACGGACACAACACAAACCAGCTGCCGAAAACTAAAATGTCACACTGCAAACACAGCGCGACCTCTGTCAGTGCACAAGTCGAACTGAGCATTCGACAAGAAGCTAACGTGTCTATATGATAAAAATCGAAAGGACACACTCGCACACACACACACACACACATACACAGATTTTGTATTGCGTGTGAAAGTTGCAAATGCTGCTTTTAGAGCAAGATGCTTTTGTAAGTGTATGCGTGTTGCGCCACCTACCAACCCTACAGCCTACAAATCTACTTCGAACTACCGAGGTGCCGAAGCACCAAAGTATGGTACTCGAGTTGAGTCGGTCGAGTCGAGAGTCGTAAAGAAGTCGGGAGATTGTCGCATCGATGGTAGCTGGCTGGCTGTTGATGATGGCGCTAGAGCTGATGTTAATGATGTGGACGAATGTTGGATGTTGGCGAAGTGTATAACGGTAAAACGAGTAGCGTTGGACGAGCGGTTGTTTGATGCGCTCTGGCGCGCAAAAGAGCATACCTAAATACAGGCGTCTAGTGAGAGTGGCGGCGAGTCAATGGCCGCAATAAAAAGCAAATAAATATGAAATCCGCCATGGATGGAGGGGAGAGCGCAGAGAAGAATTAAGCGTGTATAAACATTAAAATTAAACTTGTAGCTTGGCTTAGTGTTAAGCTTGAACTCAAGCTGTCGTCAAGTTTCAACTTTTAGCTTTGAAAGAGAAAAGAGTGCAGGCCAGGCTGGAAGTCCGCCGTTCAATGCTGAACAAACGCCTTCGTAGAATTGCAAAAATTTTCCGATGCCATTTTCAAAAATTTATCGATAACTACATGCAAATTTTTTTCGATAACTACATGAAAAAATTTATCGACATTTGCATTCATTTGCATTTAGTTATTGATAAGCATATCGATTGTGTCATCGGTAAATTCACTGACCATTCAATACCATGGATAAGTTCATCGATAACTTTTACGATCAATCGATATATTTTTTCTGTTTCGGTTATCGACACATCGACGGAAATCATTGTTGATATATTTATCTTTTTCCGTTAATTATATTTTAATTGATGCATTTATCGGTAACTTACTAACTTACTTTGCCAAGTTATTTTTAGCATCAGTTGTCGTCGACAAGATTCAATATACCGGTAAATTGCAAAAATACTCCGTAGAATTCGTTATGGCGCGAACGATCGAAACGACGAAATTACTGATGACCATTCGACATACTGTTTTAGCGATGATAATGTTACTCATACGCCACGTACTACGAACGTTCGATTTTAACTTTTCCTTTACGCATACGCCATGAACGAGTAGGGTTCCACGTTATGCCGCAAGAGTAACATTGTTTTCAGCTTCTATTTCATACAATAAATTATTGCACATTTTCATTTGACCATTAACAACCTGTTTATTTATCCATCGATTATCATCGTTAATAACTTGATTTTTTTGGCAAAAGAAAAGGCTTTAAAACAGTTGAAAAAAATAAAAGATTTATTATTTTTATATTCTTTCATTGTTAAAGTCTGAATTTTTTTCATAAAAATTAAAATATATGGGAAAAATTACCTGATCTGCAAAACGTTATACGGATTCATAATCTACGTCCCAATATTAAGTTTACATGTTTTGGCGTTTTTTTGTGTCATTTCAAAACTCGAGATTTTCCTACAGTGTAATCGGTAATTTTAAATTCAAAAAAATATTTCACATTCGCAATCAGCTACCTGGAAAACTATAGAATAAGTCGTGAACTAGCTTTTTGCCATCGCTTGCTTCGCGAAAAGAGCGTCTTTAAAGCGGAGCAGTAAAGACGCCATTTTAAATTTTTTATTTTGCCACATTTAAATTGAAAGGTTACAAGTATTTTGCCATATTTCATTATAATTTTCATTGATAGGAAATTTAGGTAGAGCTCTGGGCCGATTGACGTGAATCGTCCCATATCGAGGGTGTCCTAGACCAAGCGCCCACCCCCTCAAAAATGGAGTGAAATTTTTTTTTTATTGAAAAACGCAAAAATATACCTACCAAATCGGGGATGCTTTATCTTTTGGTGGTATTACCTACATACGTCCGGTTTAGACCGTAATTTTTTTTCTCAAAAGTGCCTTTTTCAACCTCTAAATGATCTTCGAACTTCAAATCGTCCTGTACTGCTTAAATGAGTGAACGGTTTTTATTGGATGCATTACTAAGTCGGGTATGCTCTATTTTTTGGTCGTAGTACAAATTTCCGGTTTCGACCGTTCTCGTTTATGCTTAACAAAATTTTCTATCGTTGTCGATATTTTTTCAAATATAACCATAAACACTCCAAATATCCTAAATGTTCCCGATCTATGTATCGATATACATACATATGTACATTAGGGTGGTCAAGACGAAGTAAAGTCGGAAATTTTTTGCTCTCACTCCTTAGAAAAAATATATTTTTTATTTGGAAATCAATATATATGTATATAGAGTTCGCTCAAAATGCTCAAAGTTTTCCGTTATATGGGGGGAAAAATGTGTGTAGAATTCTTGAAAATTAATATTTTCAATCTAAAAACTGTATTTCTCTTCAAAAGACTTGCAGGAAGTAATCCCAAGTGGTGGTTTAACTATTTCTTAATACTAACTATTACCTATAGGTCTCCAAAAAACCTTAAAAATGGTATAAGGGGACCTATAACAAATCGTTAGTAGTTACTAAAAAAATGGTAAAATAAACAATTGGGTATTATTACTGCAAATCTCCTGAAGAGAAACAGAGTTTTTTGATCGAAAAATATTGATTTACAAAAATTCATTCATTCATGCATTTGTACGAAAAATTGTTATTTGAGCGTTCCCTAAATATTTTTTTGATTTCGAAATAAAACAACAGGGCCATATTTTTTTATGAGAGCGTTAAGATTCCGAATTTACTTTTTTCTCATGCATTTTTGAACCACCTTAATGTACGTCCATACCTGTTTATCGGACTGGTATTAAATATTTTAATCAATCCCGTTACCGATAAGGTCATGCTCTTATTATGAAAATGTATGTGATATCGATATGTTCAATCACATATTTATCATTATTTGTTATCGACCGAAAAGCCGATATTATATTATCCAAATCATTCGATATCGTTTTCTTATTGTTTCATTATTCGCATTATATTCGTATCTCTTTTGGTTCTGTTAGTTTTCGTTTTTATTTTCATTTTGGTATTCATATTTGGATTCAATTCGTATTTATATGTTATCATATTCATATTATGATAACAGCACATCTAATGCTGCTTTAGTTATTTTATTTTATTTATTTCATTTTAGTCTACTTTTTTATTTAATCAATTTTGCTTTTTAAGTTAAAAAAATGTTAAACGTGAATATAAAAATTTAAAGGTCAATGATATTCGTATGTAAGTAACGGCATATTCGCATTTGTAAATAAGAATATACGGTAGCGTCCGTTTTCATACTCATTCCCATGGTCAGCCAAATACTCGTAACATTAACATTAGCAGCATCAGCAAATTATCTGCTTAACTGCACTGTTACCATCAACCATGATACAGTATGGCGATAGTGAAAGCAGTACTAACAGCCTGTTTCGGACATCAAAACATCACATGCTGCTGCTACTGCTGCTGCATAAACCAGTTGACCACTTACTCACCTCATTGCCTTCGTACAGCAGCAAAGTATTCTCGTATACAGCAAACTTTCATAATCTCATAATTTAATAATTACACTGTTGCGCGCTCTCTCTCTCTCTCTCTCTCTGGCCATATCTCTCACTGATCTTTCTAAATTTCCCATACTCTATTGCTGTATCAGGGCAACGTGCACGGCAACCAATAGCATCAATCATTGCTTATACGAACGAAGTTAATATGTGTACTCCACTGCGTATGTGGAACATCCATACGAGTTTCGTATTCGTCAAGGCAGCAAGAGTAAACCACTCAGCAACTTAACAGTTTAATAGCATTAAGTTCATTGTTTTTCAAGTTGCATACTCAGCGTTGCCAAAGCAACTCGTTGATGATGCCGTTACTGTTGCTGATGATGCTACACAGCCAGCTGCTGCTGACGTTCGCATCCTTTGTGATGCTGTATTGGTACGAGCAATCTCTAACGTCATATACCACTCTGAGGCGATGATGCGATTATGAATATGGTTACGTAGGTATGTAAATATGTATGTATGTATGTAAATGCTTACTGATGTCGCGTACGAATAAACTTTGTATTCAAACGCTCGCCAAAACTTGGGAGCATTTTCGACAAGGATGATGCGGTGCATCAACTTGCCGGATATGTTGTCGAATATGTCCTATATTCAGCTATATCCGAATGAAATTGTGCATATAGGTATGTATGTATGTATATGCATTTTTATTCACAGCCACACATCCGTAGTTATATTATAGACATTAATACACCTGCGTGTACATTGGACCGTAAAACAAAATTTTAAATTTTGCGAGGAAATTCCGATTGTTTTTAAGCAATCCATAGCATTTAGAATTTTTCGTCATACCTTCGGCATTTACAGTCGGATCTTAAAATGTGATATATCGATGTTTTTGTCTCGACGGCGGAATTTTTTATTCCAAAGTTCATTGATCTTAAGTACCCCGTTCTAGTACTTACCCACCAGATATCAGTTCGTTTCACCCTAACTTCCCAACCTCACGTCAGTAAATTGAAACAGACCAAAAAGCATTAAAACTTTGCTTAGGCAATATTTTTATTTTTCCATTAGAACTATTTAAAAAAATTTATTTCCGAATGTTCCTTATGTTCGGCCAAAAAAAGAAAAAATGTTTGAAGTTGCTTTGCAAATATACTTTAGAATCAGGAATGTATGGCGATTTCTTTTTTTTGAGTGCTTGTAAGGTGGTATGGTCTAATGTATATAAATAGTAGGTATATACATATATGTACGTATGTGCGCACATACAAGTGTGCGAGCAATTTTTGTGCTTCAACGCATCAACAAAAATAAGTGCAGGAAACACAAAGAACGAAAGACAGTGGACACTTCTGAGACCATCAATGAGAATAAACGGCTACGGATTTTCATACGTATGTACATATACATATGTGTAGGCAAAAGAAGGCAACAAAAAAAAAGACAAAAACTGAAAAATAACACTAGTTTACAAGTAAAATGCCCTACGGACACCACTACATATCCAAGTCCTATATAGAATTGCTCGCTGATTCCAAAAATTAAGTTAATTTTTTGTTGTACATGGCGTATGAGTAACATTCTTTCCTGCTCATTTTTCATACAAAAAAAATCTTTGCCCATTTTCATACGACCACTTATTATTACTTATTTAACTATCCATCGATTTTCTTCATTATCAACTTGATTTTTTTGTAGCAGAACAGTCTTTAACACAGCCTTGAATGTACTAAACGTGCGCTCGACGTGAGTTGATACTTTTTTAAAGACACAAGTGGGAAAAAGACAAATATCTTAAAAAAGGCAAAAAAAAGGCAACATCAAATGTGTATATATGGAATCAGGGAAAGCTAAATCGTGGACATTCTTAATCGAATGTACTCTATCTCTTTAGCAGAAAAAAGGTAAATTTCCATAAAATCCGTTGCCTGCTTATGCGTAGCATTTTCCATGTTAAAGTGTGTATTTTTTTGATTCAAATGAAAATATCTTGGGAAAATTACCCGATCTAGAGGAACGGTATACAGATCCATAATCTACGACCCGAAATTAAGCTCATGTGTTTTGGCGTTTTTTGTGTAATTTTAGCGTTCCTACATTGTTTTCGGTAAGGAACAGTTTAAAATAAAAATTTACCTAAAATTCACATCAAAATAACTTTTTCTAAAAGTTTGCCTTATTTACATACAAAAAGTCTAAATCCTTTTATTAAACATTTTGACGTTTCATAATGTACAATACTTCAAAGTTTTATTGTTGAATGTCGTAAACTTCGAATGGCAAAAATATATTTAGGAGCTTCGCAAGGTACCATAAAAGACATATCGACAGGAGAGCGTTTTTTGTTTTATTTTATTTTATTTTTTATTACGCACAAAATACTTTTTTATGGCACACAAGATAATTTCGCCCACAAGAACGAAATGCATTGTAATATGCGATAAAATATATCTATAATATTTTACCAGGTTATGCGTTGTGGGATAAAGAACAAATTTCGCAATATATGCAAAGTGGTTTATTCTTATTTATTTGCGATAATTGTTTGTAAAAATAGGATTCATATTCCACCAAAAAACATTAAAATAAAATCTCTAAACTTTGTGCAAAACTTAGGAAATTTCAATAAATTTGCATACTTATTTGCAACTTTCTATTCTCATTTATTTAGAAAACTTCTAAGAACGCAGTTTTATAGCCCACTCAACTTTAGTATAAGAAAGTGCAAGTTTGAAGTTACTAGAAAATCGCGTTGATTTTTGGCAATTTTTTTCGCGGAGATTCTTCTATATAAAGTATGCTCGACAATTATTTTTATACCCGAGCGCACTTGTGCACAAAGGTATATTAATTTTGTTCCCATAACGGTTGTTTGTAACAGCCAAAACGAATCGAGATAGATATAGACAAATGTATACATAAATGATCAGAATGAACGGAGAAATCGATTAAGCCATGTCTGTCTGTCCGTCCGTCTGTCCGTCCGTCTGTCCGTCCGTCTGTCCGTCTGTCCGTCCGTCCGTCCGTCCGTGTACACGATAACTCGAGCAAAAATTGAGATATCTCAACGAAATTTTGTATGTAGGTTTCCCTTAATCCAAGGTAGGTTGGTATTGAAAATGGGCGAAATCGGACTGTAACCACGCCCACTTCCCATATAACGGTAATTTTCAGAAATACGAAAACTGCGATATTTTAGTAACTACTGGATATTATTCACTAAAAATTGATATTTACAATAATTTAAGACGAAAAATAAGAATATTATAAATTTTCGGAAAATGGGCGTAGCCACGCCCACTTATGGTTACATGTGTATATCTTGGTAACCGCTGGCACTGTTGTTGGCCTTCGCACGACATACCAAATGGCCGAAAATTTTTAAAATCGGACAATAACCACGCCCATATCCCTTATAACGGTAATTTAGAGAAATACAAAATCTTCAATAAATCAGTAAATATTAAAGACAATTTATTCAAAATTGATGCTTGCAACAACTCTTAACCAAGAAATACGTTTGTGATAAAATTTTGGAAAATGAAAATACGTGCGCCGGGTATTTAATGTTCGGCTCCGCCCGAACTTAGACTTTCTTACTTGTTTGTATGGAGAAAATGAGCAACACCTTCCATTAGAAAAATGCCACATTCAACGCGATTTTGTAGCAACTTCAAACGCGCACTTTCTTATACTAAAATTGAAAATAAATTGGGCTATAAAACTGCATCCTTAGAACTTTTCTAAAAAATGTGAATAAAAAGTTGCAAATTAGTGTGCAAATTTAAAGAATTTTCCTGAATTTTGCACAGAGTTTAGAGATTTTATTACTACGTTTTCTGGTGTAAAATGATCTATATTTTTATAAAAAATTATCGCAAATAAATAATAATAAAAAAACTCTGCATATATTGCGAAAAATTCACATTGCCAATACTTTTATTCGTCACTGTGTGTCGCAATTGTTTACTATTTTAATTTTCAAAAGCTTACATAAGTAAATTCAATTACTTTTCAATTGCAATACATTTCAATATTTTGCCAATTTATATTTTAATCACTAGGATTCAATATTTCCATTCTTAGCCAACATAACTTTTTCTCACGTTCAATATTCATTAGTATCAGTCTGATACCTAACGGTGACTGAATCAAACAGCTTATATGCAGTAGCATCATTGTAGTCCGAAACGTAAAAAATTCATATTTGGTTTACTCAAATTAACACGTCAAAATCAAAAAACAGCCATCTATATCTGTCAAGTAATCGTTTGGAAAAATACGAAAATATCCAGTAGGAAAATAAGAGTTTATTTTTTTGTCACCCGCGCATACGATATTGCGTTTTTCCAACCGAACCGAAATTTTCAAACAATGTTTGATCCCTCTTTTTTTATTTTTAAGCCGTAACTGTGGGCCGGTACAAAACCTGTAGAAAGTTTAATTGGTTCAAGTCTCACACTGATGATTTTTAAGGTTAGGTGATGCATAATCTTCTAAACAAAATGTATGAGTGTTTCGAAAAGTTTGCATATAAATAAACGTGGATACCAGCCACAGCTTTCCATCGTTACCGCTTGAGCTCATGGTTAGATTTGTTTAGGTTTTAGGAGGGTGCATGTCATCTACTTACCGTGTACAGGGAAAATCTCCTGGAAGGAACAACCTCTATTTGGTTTCAGGTCTTCTTTGAACCACGCAAGAAACATTCAACTTTTCGAGATCCCTTAGCTAAAAACAAATTACTTATTTCATACGCTTTCAAGTACGGTAATCCAAATTGGACTTTTTCATAAAAAATGCACTTTTTTTTTTGCTTTGCTGAAGTTGGCAAAATCGGCCCAGTAATCAGTCCAATGCTAAACGATAGCTGAGCGATTCGTTCGTAATGCAATTAAATGGAACTCCGTTCGGAATCAATTTTTAACCTTCCTCCTTTCTTGGATGCTAGCACCGCATAACTTTGAGCCACGTTAACCGATTTCGATAATTGTTTTAAGGGAAATGCGGTACCTCCGAGGTAGTCCCATACTAACTTGGTTTAGATCCGATCATTGGATCATGAAGAAATTAACGGTACTCAAAAACTTGCTTAGGAGAATTGAAGTCGGTTTTGTTTTATGCTTAAAAATTACTTGACGAAGCCAGCGTATGCATTTTAATTTGCCTTGCTATGTCCATACCGTTGTAAAGCTCATTCCGCTGATCGTTCCATCGTCAGCAGTATTCGCCTTATAATCGATTATTGAAGTGAAACTTCTTTATCGAGTTCGGAGATGTTTGCGCTAAAAATCCAATGCCTTCGTGACGGTAGTATAGGTATATGGCGAATGCGTGGACAGAAAAAGAAAATTTGGTTTAAGATTAACCCTCTAGTAGGCCAATTTTTTTATGAGTTGAAAAATTCAGGAATGGG